CAGGAACAGGAGAGACCACCGACTGTGGCTCCACCTCAGGAACTGGAGAGGCCACCGACTGTGGCTCAACCTCAGGAACTGGAGAGACCACCGACTGTGGTTCCACCTCAGGAACTGGAGAGGCCACCGACTGTGGCTCAACCTCAGGAACTGGAGAGGCCACCGACTGTGGCTCAACCTCAGGAACTGGAGAGACCACCGACTGTGGTTCCACCTCAGGAACTGGAGAAACCACCGACTGTGGGTCCACCTCAGGAACTGGAGAGACCACCGACTGTGGCTCCACCTCAGGAACAGGGGAAGCCACCGACTGTGGCTCCACCTCAGGAACAGGGGAAACCACCCATGGAGGCACATGTTCAGTCTCTGAGGTGGCTTGAAGCGTCTGTAGAGGGCTCTTGGCGGTTTGTGGCCCCTGCTGAGAGGCTCTTGGAGGCATATTTCCACCAACTCCGAACTCTGAAGCCCTCTTAAGTTTATGCTCAGGGGTCTCTGGACGGCACAGGGCAGACTCAGGTGTCTCTGGACAGCACAGAGCAGACTCAGGGGTCTCTGGACGGCACAGAGCAGACTCAGGGCGACGCCGTTTCTTACGCCGAGGGGTCCTTGGAGCTAAGCTAGCAGGATTACCGGCTAATTCTGGCAAAAGACTAACTGGTTGAAAGATTAGAGTTCCAGAATGGATTACTGGTTCTGAGGCTAAAAAATCAGGCATGGGGTCAGGTTTAAGACTAACTGGGTTATTTTCTGGTTCTGGAGCTGGATCTGGCTGGCGTGGAGCTGAATGTGGTAGCTTGAAGGGGAAGATATCCTCTCTATCCCCATAAAAATAATTTCAGAGATCAGACTCATGGATGTGGGGAGCTCCTACGCTTTGGGGAGAGAATACTGGACCTATTTTAAGTTTCTTAGTGGATGGAGAAATATGATGATCATGTAAATGAGAGCTGAGACTAACCTGGCGCAGAAGGGAACTGGATCTGGTTTGTAGTTCAATGTCCAGCCCTATAGCAAGCTCAATGAGGTCCTCAAGGTTAGCTGGCTCATTGAAAAAGGTTAGCTCGTTTCTGATAGGTTCATTTAGAGCAAGGAGATAAGCGGTTTTAAGCGCAGACTCGTTCCACCCGGAAGCGGCTGCTTAAACCTGGAAATCGGAAGAAAACTCGGCAACGGATCTATCTCCCTGTTTAGTTTCTAGAAGTCCACTAGAAACGATGGAATTATTAGAGGCTTGGTTAAAAGTCCTTTCAAAATCCTGGATGAAATTCTCATAAGTGCAGTTAACTCTAGTTTTAAACGGGAATCTGGTCTCTGCCCATTCAAGGGCTTTTCCGGACAGGAAAGACACGACAAAAGCTATCCTACTCATATCATAAAGGAAACTTGACTCATAAAATTCAAAAAATAGCTGACACTGGAACAGAAATCTCCTGAGCTTACTTGGGTTGCCGGAAAATCTCTCTGGCAGTGAAGGGCTGAGCGAAGAAAACGACGGGCTGGGTTCTGACCAGAAAGGAAGATTACTATCTTGACTAGGAAGTGAGGTCACTGCCGGTGACCTAGGAAGCGGAAGTGGATTCGGAGCAGGACGTGCCGCTGACGTGGCGTTAGCATTACCCAAGTAGCTAGCAAATGTTTGATTCTGATGTAACTCACGGAGGGTTTGTGCATGTCCCGTTCCTCAAACCACCGACGGAGGTGATCTGCTGGGCTTTGTGTTTGGCCGCAGTGTTCTGTCATGATGGATCAAAGGAGCAAGCCCATATGCAGAACACACACGGAGGAGGCAGGGAAAAAGTTCAAAGGTTTATTAAAAGTTCTGAACACGAGATCATAAACAAGTTCTGAGATTGGTTCACTGAAGTCTTGACTGGGACACTTCTTTTATATTTGACCCAGGTAGGCTGTAGCTCATCACTTCTTATTTCCCCACAAAGGAATTGATGGCAGCCGCTGTTCTCACCTTGGCTTGTCTATTTTAAATTCTTATTTTTTTCATTCCCTTATTTTCCTTTATTGCTTCTTTCCAGGATGTCCTTCTCTTCTCTCTCTGTTGATTGATTGACTGACAGATTAGTCGGAATGGAAGGGGCATTGGCCATGCTACGCCTGATTGCCAATCAGCATCTCCTCTCCGATATGATGGTTGTTTTTGCCACAAACTGCACCTTATCAGAGCAACTGGGCAGAGTTTGAAGTTTCTGCATTCCCCTTGTTGTAAAAAAAATTTGAAAATAGTATTTAATAAAGAGCTATTCCTTTTTGTTCACTTTCACATAGATGTGTTTCCTATCATGCCACAATTGAACCTGTCAGCCACGTAAACCATAAACATTGATCACTGAACACTGAGCTTGGTAAAAATAAATAATAATAGGCAGAGTTGGGTAGAGCATACAAACAATTGTGCTCAAGTCAGAATAGCACAGCTTCATCACTCTTTTAATCCAGTAAAAGTGAAAAGTATAATTTAGTAAACTACTACCTAAAGTATTTCTTTTTCTCAAAAAGTTACTCAAGTGAATAAAACTGAATAATGTAACTATTTATAACCCAGATCTGTTATAGGCCATCAATACTAATTGGCACTGATAGTGTGGATTATTTTTTGTTTTGGCCTTCAGTGCCTTCTTGCTCCTCATGTTTAACCATCATACTCCTCTGTGTCCTTCCACATTTGTAACAAATAACGAAATTTATTGTGTCATTTGTGTGAGGATTTGTGGTCTACTAACCAACATCTGATGTGATTTTAACTCAAAATAGCAGATAAAAGTGTATATATTGGGAAAAGAAACTAAAAAAAGTGCTCCATGCTAATTTCCCATCTTATATTTTATTCAATAGAGGTGCACAAGGAAGAAGTATAGTATATTTTGAGAGAATCAATATCTACAATTATTATTATTATATTCTAATAACAAAAATGACATGTCTGTACAGAAACATCTGTCTCAGTGTCATCTGTTTCTGAAAGGTTGGGTTTTAGAGAAAGCAGATACCAGTGATGAAAGAGAATGAATTCATTAGTGTTCTCACTTTCTTAAGCAGATCCTAATTGTCATCTTTTGAGCTTAGTCACACTACTGGTGCACTATTGTATGACAATACAAATATATCAACATGTTTTGAAAGCAGAACTGTAAATTATTGTAATCTAAAATGTTGCTTTAAAGTTTCCTGATTAAGAAAATAGTGTGAATTTAATAAGGTCACTTTGTTGTTGTTTTCCATGTGTTTGATGTGATCCATTTTGTTCTCAGCTATTTTAAACTCACCGCCATCAACATCGTCACTGACTTTATTGTCAGTTCACAGCTCTTTGACAGATTGATTTTAGGTTTATTTCTGCTTAATCTGCCTCTTCCTTTAGTCTACGTCACTTCAGAAAGTTTTAAGAAAATAATTTTAAAGGAAATCTGACTTCTTGATGTGAAATCTGTGTGCTGGTTTCAGTTAAAACTTGCAGAAAGAATTCGACAGTGGCCGTTTTTTTGTGTGTCTATGTATGAGCTTGTTAGGAAGCTCAGAATATAGGACCCAGAATTCAGAGGAGTCAGACAGTGATATATTCGAAAAATAGTTTATTAAAAAAGTGTGCGGCTGCTCGTCTGCTGCAGCTGGCTCACTGGAAACTCTGCGTGAGTAGAGGCTCAGGTCAGTGACTTTAAAACTCAAATGATGGATAATAATTAGTATGAAAGCCACCAACCTGACAAAGTTCAGTCTGTGCCCAGAAGAAGGAGTGTTGTCCAAAGCAGCAGAACTCATTTGCTTTTTGCTGCTCCTGCGCCAGAGATCCAGGAGAGAAAAGAAGCATCGTCCTTCAGCAGCCAGAGCATGCATGGGGACAGAAAGATCCAGAAGGGAAATCCAAGCCATGGTCAGAATACAGGTCCATTAATAAGGTCATTAACAATACTTCCAGTGTTGTTAATGAAAACAACACTGAAACAGACTCACCACTTGTACAGAGACCGGATGGCCCCTAGTAAAGGTCCCTTGACTCCATACTCCTGAAGTGCCCACCACAAAGCATCATGGGGGACAGGGTGGAATGCCTCTTCCAGGTCCACAAAGCACATGTGGACTCTTTGGGCAAACTCCCATGAACCATCAAGCACCTTTAAGAATGTAGAGCTGGTCCACTGTTCCATGGCTGAGACTAAAACCACACTGCTCCTCCTGAAGTCAAGGTATAAATATCAGCCAGAATCTCCGTTCCAGCACATTAGTGTTAATTTTAGCAGCCATTTTTAAATTTAGTTTTAGTCTTAGTCCAGTTTCAGCTTCGCTTGTTAGTTTTTATCACATTTAGTCGACATCATCCCATTTTTATTTAGTCTAGTTTTAGTCGACTATAAGTCGAGCATTTTAGTCTTTATTTTAGTCCAAGAAAACATAATTTTATTAGTTTAGTTTTAGTCAACAAAAAACGTCAACATTTTAGTCTAGTTTTAGTCAGGACATAATTTTAACCTTTTACTTTTTTGTCAGCAGATAATATTTAACATTTCCTAAAATGATTTCACATTTCAACATTTTCTCTCATCTTTTTGATAAAACCCCCCCCACTATTTTAAGGAACAAATGCAGACATGGAAGATGTTCTGACAATATTTGCATATTTATTTTGAACATTGTTAAGGTTTAAAGACACAAACACAAATGCTTGCATTAAAACAAATAAAATACACCTGACAAAGGAAACAAATAAATAAAATAAAGTGTTTTATGAACTTAACACAAGTGCTGGCTGTTTAAAGCTAGTTCACATAGAATAATAAAATAAATAGATAGAAATAAATAGATTTGAGATCAATGATGTGAAAAAAATAACTCCAACTGATACAACAAAAGTGCTTTCCTGCCAGCTAGTTCACATGGTTTATAAAGGTACAGTATTTATGTGAAACAAGGCATAGCTTGCTGGTCCTGAGAGTCAGCTTTGTATTTGGTGTGGGCAATTAAGGAAGCTTGTAGAGCTGGCCTGTCATTGATTCTGGGTGGTTGTTGTTGGTCGGTGTATCTTCAATCTGGAACAGAAATTAATACAATGTCAGGATAGATGCACAGCATAACAGGAATTCCAAGTGTATAAGTAGCATATAGGTCTCTTTTTTTCCTTAACAAAAACTAAGTCTCTGTAAAAACTACATTTGACAATCCATTTCAAACTCATACAAACAACCTACCGTAACTATCATTTTATGCAGGAATAAATTGCAGACATTTTTATGTGTGCATGCATTTTGGTTGTATTAATATTGATTAATATTGATGTTTGCATCCAAATCCCCGCAGTGGTTCCCCTAGCAATGGCTATTTTGTGTATGAAAATCTAGGTTAAAGTTGTTCTGAATTATGTGTGGCATATTATTTTACTTTTCTTATCCTGATACACACTGTCAAAGACCGATAGTTTCAGTTGGTTTTAGCATTTAGCATACATGTGTAGCTGCCGAGGTGTTTTGTGTTAACCATAGTTCACTTGCTGCTCCTAGTTTACCTAAAGCGTCTGTCTGCTTTAATCAAACTTGCAATGTAACTGAAACTATAGTTGCCCGGCCAGTATAACATATCTAAGTTCTATCAACAAGTGGCTACGGTCGCTACGTGCTAACAAGCTAACGTAACATAGCCAGCCTGGATACTAAATGCTTTGAAAGTTAGCCAACACCAGTTAGTTTATCATTAGGACATTATAGCTGTTGATTAATGTTACATTATAAACAACCACCACCAATATTTCTGTTAACTTACCGTAATGTCTTTGTGTTGAACTGCGACGTGTCTCTTCAGGTTGTGTTTTTTCCAGCTACCATGTGGCCACATTCCTTCCCTTCGACTAAAATCAAGCATTTGGTTTTGTTCTCCACTTCAATGAAGTGAAAAAGTGTCCATATATCACGTCTCCTCTTTCTCCCGAGTCCCGGAGTAGGCTACTCTGTGCCGCCCGCTCCAGGTTTGAAAGTGGGTGTGTGGAGCTGACGAGGAGGAGGCGGAGCAGGAGATAGGTTTTGAAAAAAACATAAAATAATAATACGTAATTTTCGTCTCGTCTTTGTTCGTGAACTAAAATGTCCATAGATTTTAGTCCAGTCTTTATTTACCAAACTGCATTTTCGTCTCGTCTTTATTAGTCAACGAAAAATATTTCTGATTTACTCCCAGTTATTGTTTATTAGTGGAGATTTTCGTCTCGTCTCGTCTAGTTTTCGTTGGGTGAAAAATGTGCGTTGACGAAAATATTTTCGTTTAGTTTTCGTTAACGAAATTAACACTACAGCACATAGGCCTTCCCAGGGAAGCTGACAAGTGTGAGTCCTCTGTATTAGGTTCTTTTGTTTATTTTAAACTATCAAAATAGTTTTCATCAAGACAATTTCTTTGTGGTTGGATAAATGCTGCACGAATTTGTTGTTCACCACATACCAAAAAAAAAAAAGTTTTTCAATAGCATGCAAAGTTAAATTTGACACAGCTGCCATTAGTTATTAAAATTAAGACAATTACGTATAAAGAAGTTATCATCCAGAATTCTTTCTTTTTTCTTTCTTTTTATAGGGTAGTGCAGTAAAGCATCAGTCCTTAAATTTTTTTTCCTGCATTGCTTTTACTTTCATACTTTAAGTAGTTTTAAGAATGTTTGTTTTATCTAAGTAAAAAGCTTAAGGTGATACTCTGACTTCTACAAAGGTGTTTTAAATAGCAGAATTTATACTTCTGCTTGAGTAATAAACATTAATAATTTTGACACCTACTGTATGCTTCTTATGCCACCACCCCAGTCTGCTAGTCCAGGGGCAATGTCCCTGACCTCGACACAATGTTAGGAGTCGAAGACGTCCCTGACCAAAGGCTCCCACAAACATTCCCAGCAGACCCCTCACTACTCGCTTGGGCCTGCCGAGGCCTACCTCCTCTACCAGCATATCCAACTCACCACCAGGTGGTGCTTGGTGAAGAACTTCACCCCTATCTTCATACAACACATGATACAATTACAAATTTGATTATTGGTCTGTGGCCTAGGGTGTCCTGGTGCCAAGTGAGCCGATGGATAAACTCCACTTGGGTTCAGAGCTTAACTAGAGAAAGATGCAAAATTTCTGCATTTGCAGTAGCAGCCAATAAAAGTCAAAAGCCAGCCGAATGGCAGCAAAATACCCAACAATTTCCAGCCACTGGTGTAATTATGGGCGTGCATATTTTTTTTACTCAAACTCCAGCCTTTCACTGAACTACAGGATCTGACCAAGAAATAACACTCCTCTTTAGATCTTAATGTCCACAAATTATGACAGAAATAATATTTTAGATTCTTAAAAAGAACTGTAGGGGACCAGCCAAGTAGCCTCGTGAGACCATCCTGATCTCGCAAGCTTTCAAGGTTTCATTCGCAGATCAGTCTGGAGACTCTCCGTTAAAGAAAATTTGGAGCCGTTCACCAAACAAACGTCCAATCAGCGTTGGCTTTGAGGCGGGTTGAGGTGTGACGCAACGAGAAGCGCGACAGGTCAGTCTAAAGAACATGGTGGCTTCAGCCGATGAAACTAGCGTTAGCGTGGCTATCGAGCAAGTTTTATCGGAATCACAGAGTATTTCTTCACTGAAAGAAGAGCAAAACACTGCTCTGGAGGCTTTTCTCAGAGGAAAAGATGTTTTTGCTCTTCTCCCGACTGGTTTCGGCAAGAGTAGCCTGGCTGTTAGTACGTCATATGCTTCGTTGATCTGATTGGTTTATTTGGCCCGTCTATCACCAACATAGGCCAATCAGCTAACCAGTATTTTCGCCCCTTCCCAAAATTACTTCAACGGAAGGTTTCCAGATGGATATGCGGAGCAAATCCATCTGGCGGAGTCAGGTTACAGTTTCACCACACTCCCGTTCAAACTAAAAAGGTTCAACTTTTTCATTGTTATTTTGGCTGAATGGAGCTAGCGTTACAGGACTTGGCAAGCGTCATTTACCCAGAATACACTGCAGCGTACACAAAATGGCTACATCCGTGCAAATTTATTTTATTTAGATGAATGAAAACAGCTTATAGTATTTTTGCATTGTAATTATGCACTTTATTTATATAGAAAATAAAAATAATGTTTTAGATAAACTACATTGTTACAACTAATTATGGATCCTTTTAAAATGCAATTATCCAAAAACATAGTATTACTTACAGCATTAAAGCAGACAGTTAACACACATATGCTTCATGATAAAAAAAAAACACACAAACGTCATATATTTTTAAAGTTTTTGGGTTAAGATGACATGAATAATAAATTAGCTCTGACATAGTGCACCTACTCTTTGAATTTCATAAGTAGTTTCATTCTACTATATATATATATATATATTCAAAATTGGTTGCGATTTTAGCTCATTCCACATGCTATTGACTGCATTTGTGGCTTATATACTCAGTGCAGAGTAGCAACGTTAAATCGCTTTTACATTTCAATCAAACTCTCAGGCTACTGGTAAACCCTGTTCTCTGTCCTCTCTTTGATTTGACATTTCATTTTATTATGTTTTGCCAGTGGGCTCTCTGCGCCGCGATGACGGGACGACATGGAGGGTTAAAAGTGGCAGAAAGTGGCCCCAAAGCCCATGAATGGCAAAAGCTCAGAGCCGAGCAGCACGATGTGGTCAAGGTTATGACGATTCGAAAGCATTGCCTCGTATCCCTGCACTCTGGGCCAATACCGAGTGGTTTCAGAGCGATGCTGCTTTGTCCTACACCCCTAACATGTCATATAAAATTTGACTGCAAACCCAGATGGGTCCAAAACATAAACTCGATGCCTGTGGGGAACAAAATGACAAACTTAGCTGCATGAAGACATCTATGGCTGATTTCAGGACATAAACACTTCACTGTTGACATTCTAGTTGAGATTATTCTGCTTAATTTCATCTAAAGTTGTTTTATTCATGTCTAGTTTGAAGCCATTTGCTCCTCCAAAGTGTTTCATTAATTAAATAGGAGAAAGAGAAAAAAGCTCCCTTCAAAGCCAGTGTTTTTAATTAATACAGGAGAATTAGGGGAGAGGCATCGGGAGCTTTATTGATCTTTAACCAATGTTAATTAACTGAGTGAGTTATTTAGGCTGTGATGTTACTTTGCTTAAAGCTGATTATATACGTAGTGCAACAGCTGATAAAGCTGAACCTTCTATCTGACTAACATATAAAATGCAAAATTCCGTTTTTATTTATAATATAGAAGTTGAACTGTAAAGTGCCTTAAGATGACTAGTGTTATGAATTGACGCTATATAAATAAACAGAATTGAATTGAAATAATAGACAAAATAAATGTGATCCTTAGTAAATTATTTAGAAAAAATACAAAGCGCTTTGATTAAGAAAACTGCCTTGGCCTTTCCCAGTTAAATTCACCCACCGATAAAACCTGCAGAAATTTAAACAAGATCATTTACCGAAGTAGACAAATTCACTATTTTTTTCTTAGAGAAAAACATCAAACCAACATTTTTTGTTCATTGGACCTTTTCACATAGATAACACACAAAAGAAAGACTTATTGTTATAATTTTTTTTGCTTGTTATGAATTCAACTGGACCAAGTGGATGAAGAGTAAAACTCTAAAAACCAAACCACAAAAAGTCGTTTAATGATCATTCAATTCTAAATTGAGCGTATGCAGTTTAAAATAGAAATATAAATAACATCTGTTAAGCAAATAATGTAGTATAATTTCACTATTTTTCAAAAGCTTGAGGTAATTGTTGCTCAGGAGAAAATATACTAAAAAAGACTAATACTTAATGCTTTACACAGAAACATGGATATAAGTTTAAACAGTACATAAACAAAGCAGACTGTTTATGTCGAAGTAGCGGACAACTATCCACCATTCCAAAGGTTTATATAACTTTCCAGGAGCTTAGTATATACAGTAGCAGCCATTCAAAATGGCCATTCTTAGTCAAACTTTCACACTTTCTTGCAGCTCCCAGCAAAATCCCCTCCAACTTCCAGCCACTGGCCTTCTCCTGGGCATGCATGTTTTTTTTACTCTGACTCCACCTTCTCACTGAATTACAGGGTCTGACCAGGTGATGACGCTTCTCTTTAGATCTTAATGTCCACAAATCATGACAGAAAGAGTATTTTAGCACAAAGATTGATTTTGTGAAATCATCTATCAGACTATGCTTTTCCTTGCCTGAATAAAAATAATATTGTTCCATTCTTTATGCTGAGATGTAGGGAGTTGAAGCAGGTGGGAAAAGAAGCAGATTCCTCCCTAGTTTAGACAAGGGGGAAATATAGATAAACATGTCCTTACTGTGTTTAAGGTTCTCACATCCTTTTTCTGGTGTGAACGGAAAACAGTTGTCTGAAATGTTTATCTGACTAAATTTATGTCTTTGATGAATTGAAGTGTTTTTCTTGGGAATAACCAAATATTCAAGTGTGAGAGAGATCTTTATGCAGGGGGTGGGTGTTTGTGCAAGATATAAAAAGTATGTACCTAAATACCTCAGACAGAGAGAGCTCTATCTCCGTCTGAAGGACGTTAAATAAAACTGAATATTATGTCTTGCAAGAAATTCTTCTGACTCATTTTCCTAACTTCACAATGTTTAAAAAGGAATTATAGGGGACCAGCCAAGGGCCCATTAAGAAAAGTAGAGACATTTTAAATGGCTACTATAATGACCAGAGATACAAGTTATAAAAAAAAAAAAAATGTAATCTAAAGGTTATTGATCTCCAGAGGTGTCAAGTAACGAAGTACAAATACTTCGTTACTGTACTTAAGTACACTTTTTAGGCAACTTTACTTTACTCCATTACTTATTTTTCCTCCTACTTCCTACTTTTACTCATTACATTTTCACACAAGTATCTGTACTTTCTATTCCTTACATTTTTAAAACAACCGTTACTCGTTACTCTTGGCTTTGGTTTAATGCAGAGGTCAGGGATTAGCGGACCGTGTTATGTCGAAAACGGATTAAAATATGACCAATGGAGCTACTTGTTATATTAATGATATAAAAATGCTGATATATTT